CTAAATCAGTGACTGAATATGCGTCCCACTTATTCATTAGATTTTGTCAATGGAGTTCAGAAAGCGAATTTGCCTGTGTTTTCGTTCTGCCGAGAATTGAGTTTTCGCGATTAAATCCAATTAAAACTTAAACGATCAGAGAAACACTTGGCCGATAATCAAATCGATTTTGTAGCAGCCCAGTATTTGACGAAGAGTTCAACATAGTAGCAACAAAACCAAACAAAACGCGTTGCATCATGGGAAATTCTCTTTTTGTTTTCTTTGATTCAATTTTTATATATAGCTTTTCAACAGAACAATTTTCAAATACAACACACACACACACACACACACATATATATATATATATATATATATATATATATATATATATATATATATATATATATATATATATATATATAGAGAGAGAGAGAGAGAGAGATACGATGAGAACGAACAGTGTACAATTCCAATGTTCTGAACGTTTAATTTGAAAGCGAGCACTATACAGAGTAGAGTAGTATTATGTATTTTAGGATATTACATCGAAAATATGTCAAAATCGCTACACAATTGCAGTCGTGCTTCAACGCATACCAATGCGTCTCATCAGGCGATCGTAAATTATTGGCGAGTGAATGATTTATTTACGTTCAAAAGCAAAATACAAACTCTTTTCTAAAAAAAAAAAAGGCTTGATCAACCAATCGAATATGACCTACGTCAAATTTAAACTAAGGGAAGAAGGAAAAATTTAATGTAATTTATGATATAAAAAAAATGAGCATAGATTGGTAGATAACAGCCATTAACTTCAAGCTGAAAATAAAGTAAATATCCGAATATACACTGACATATATATATATATATATATATATATGTATATATACGCTATATATATATGTGTGTGTGTGTGTGTGAAATGTGTACATATATATATATATATATATATATATATATATATATATATATGCAATTTATTAAATATATTATTTGTATATTATATATGCGCGGTACTTATTTGAAAGCGTTCAATATCAGAGATAGAGAGCTAACATATATGATATATTATATATATATATATATATATATATATATATATATAGTTTGATTGATGTGAGTTTGGACCCCAGGTTTCATCCTATTTGGTCGTCAGACAAACTGATAGCAAATAGCGTGAAATATCATAAATATAATATATATATATATATATATATATATATATATATATATATATCGCTTCGCTCGACTCTTCCGTCGAATCCGACGTACGAGGGTCAAGTAGGTCAGGAAACCGACAGCCCAACAACAGCACATGAGAATTCATTATAGTGATGAAGGTTTCGTGCAGGACCAATCCAACCAAATATATATATATATATATATATATATATATATATATATATATATTATTTGGTTGGATCCAACCAAATATATATATATATATATATATTTATTGATTGATGGGAGTTTGTGACCCTGGGTTTCACGGTTTTGCGATCGTCAAAAGCGTGAAACACATTTTCACAAACTCACATCAATCCAACCAAATATGTTAGCTTTATCTCTGATATTGAGCGCTTTCTAATAAGTACCGCGTATATAATATATAAATAATTATATATATATATATATATATATATATATATATATATATATATATATATATATATTGATAATTATATACACACACTTTTCACATATATATATATATATATATATATATATATCTGGTCACTGTATTCAAGGATATCCGTCTATTAGGGCAGCTAGCCAATTCCTATTGCAGGCGCCTGCTCTGTGTTTTTATACTGCAACTATGCTGAGCAGACCTTAGTTACAGTTTCTGGGAAAGAGCGTGTTATCTAGTGTGATCAGCAATTTGAACAAAGCTCGCACGCCGAAACACAAGGGTTCCGTCTACCCACTTTCACTCACAAGGATTGGGTTAACATCTCCCGTTAGATAACATCAGGAAGTTTCCTTTCTGATAAATCAACCATGGTGTGATTCGAACCCGGCTCTCACGTTCTAAGCAGTCAGACACGTGCCTATATATTTGTATGCACACACACACACATACGCGTGCGCGCGCATATATATATATATATATATATGTATGTATGTATATGTATGTAGAATTCAGATGTATATGCAATTGTGTAATATGTGTAATTGTGTATACTTATATGCAAGGTGGCCTAATGGATAGCTGCTTGGATTGAGGAATTACGTGCCAATACCCTTGGGAAAGGTGTGAATCCTCTTAGTCTCCCTCCAGGTATGGGTAAATAGCAGAACAGACTGGGTTCTGTAGCCTTGGATAGCAACTGGTCTGAATTCAAAACCTGCGCAGGGTCGTTTGGGGACCTTGTGCCACTTACTGCCCCAGGTCCCTGAATTCGGCCCTTCAAAAAGTGTGGATGGTCCTGCACGAAACATTCACCACTATAATCGAATCTCATGTGCTGTTGTCGGGCTGTCGGTTTCCTGGGAACTGATCTGGTTGACCCTCATACGTCGAATTCGACGGGAGAGCCGAGTATATATATATATATATATATATATATATATATATATAATTATTTATTTAAAAATATGATTCCAACTCGCGACATAAGAGTTCTCATGTTTCAAAACAAGAGCCGAAAACTTCACTATAATTATTTGAATTAAATTGAGTTAAAGTAAGCTCTGTTCCATCTTCATGCGAAATTTTTTTTGGAATAACGTATTTCTGAAATTTACGTGTTTTAATAATTGAAATCAAAATTTCCATGGTAACAGCTCGGGCGAATTGTTTAAATTGGGTAGGCGTGTGTTGGGTGTTAATAATAAGTATCAATATAGAGTTACTTTAATAGATGTCAATATATATATAATTCAAATATATATTGTGTAGCATTTCCTAGCTGTAACCTGGTATTGAACTGACAACTCTTTGGCTCAATTCACTGGACCCAGCCAAAGCTTTTATCTATTTGTTGATAAATGATACTGAGGTATCCGGAAGAGGCATGACACGTGGAACTAGAAATATCTACCTCGGTGAACGAAATAAAGGGTTCAGTTAGAAATTACAATCATCTGAAGAAGGTCGGAGCGTACAATGACCGAAGCGTCATGAATATGGAAACAAATAGTGTAAATGATTAGAATATCTCAGTAATGTCGACATCTATTTTCATATTTATTTGATATCAGTTAGTAATTCGCTGGAACCTTTCTGTGATTGACCTTTCATTGAAAAGGTCCCTTCGTATCTTGGGGGTACGTTTAATCAAATCAGTTATGTAAACAACTTTGTTTACATGTAGAAAGCATTTATCCAGAACTGAAAATATAACCAAAATAAAAAAGTGGGAAGAAAAACGGTTGTTTCTTAATTGATGTGTTTTTCGCACTTAAATCTAAGACGAAAGACGCAAATATCTGTCGAAAGAACTGGAAACAAGAGTTTTTTTTTTTTTTTAAATCATTACACACCAAGGAAGGCAATAAAGCCACTAAGTCCCAATGGGTTACTGAACGTTCGATAATATGAGAAAGGAAATCACTATTAAGATGAGAGAACAATAAAAGAATAGGTACTAAGAATCGCATTTCAATTTTTGAGGATCAAATTTCAATTTTTGTGGATCAAATTTGAACGGAAAGCAAGAAGCTGGAAGAGAGTCCCACAAGCGAGAAGTGAAAATAAACTCTTAGATAAATTCACAGGATGGAATCGAACCTGTATCCTATACAATCGGTAAAAGCACGTCATTCCGTAGAGAATACAGGTTCGATTCCTCGGAGGACGAAATGATGAAAATTTCTCCGGACATTCAGGCCGGTAAAGGTTTTAACACTTTTATTAAAACAAAGCATTTACTTAAATATTTATATCTATAAAAAATAAACATAAAAATGTTTTAAAATAATTGTCGAACTTTGTTCATTTCATAATATATATATATATATATATATATATATATATATATATATATATATATATATATATATATATATTTCATAACACATCTATATATTTATATATATATATATATATATATATATATATATATATATATATATATATATATAAACCTAGTAATCCAGACAAACCTACCCAGGTTTCACCTAAGCGGATCATCAGGGAAAGTTTGAAAGGAGCCAGCTTTCCCTGACGATCCGCTTAGGTGAAACCTAGGTAGGTTTGTCTGGCTCACTAGGTGTATCTAGGTCTGCTCTACGGTTGTATTGAGCGATTTTGTTAGTTAGTTGTTTACTCGTATCGGGGTTTTTTCTTTGAGCTTCAAACCTGCATCTGTGCGATTTTTTTTTTCGACAGACTTTCATGTTTCTAGCTCTTTTTTTTTAAAACCTTTTTTCCTCGAGATTGATTTGATTATTGGCAAATCAAAATTGAGGGTTTTTCGAAACGAGTATAGTTACCTATATATATATATATATATATATATATATATATATATATATATATATATATATATATATATATATATATATATATACTTATATTGAGAAGTTGTTATATTTATGATGGAATCATAAATCTCCTAACCTTTGTGCCATAATATTATGCTTGAAACATAATCATTTGCACAATTCCTATTGAGTGCTGCCTTCCACTCAATCGTACGGGTTTGACGCATCAGTTTATTCAATGTCCACTTCATTCCTTACTTTTGTGTTTTAGTAGCACCCTTGTGGATATTTCTCATTTGGAAAAAGTGATAGGATTTAATTGTCCACATAGGATTCAACATAAAAAAATGAAGACAATTTTTAAAATTCTGGTTTAATCCATAAAAATACACCAGAACGCCGGCTGTGTCAGCAAGCCAGACAGTTATGGGCTACCAATGACTGACCGTAGACTTTTATAATGATTTTAAACAAACAAAAAATACAGAAATGGCGCCCAATTTTCACCATCGAACATTACGCATGACTCACCAAAAAGTCGGGAAGCTTAAGTGTCGTCTGCTGTATATATAAAAAAAATCTTTTTG